TTGGTTCGATTCGGGAAGAAGATTGAAAACTCGTTTTCCAGAATTCCCAAAATTTTTGGTCCATATTTTGTGTTGACTTTCTTAATTTCCGTGATTTGATAAATCTTGTTTAGTTGCAGTTCTTCAAACTTTTTAGTTGGTAGAAAGTTCGGTAAGTTGTTGATTTTATTGATAGCACTCAAATCCATTTTTGAATTATTAAGCTAAGAAATAGATAGAAAATAGTTAATAATAATAATAGTAGAAATTAGTTATAAAATAGAATAATGAAATAAATGACTTACTTGATTTTCCGTAGAGTACACAATTTTAAATATTTTTAAAAAAAGACACATATTTTTTTTAAACTGAACGACTGATTGAAGTAACTGCAGGCAGAAGACTGAAATTTGGAGGCAAGTATGTATAACTCCCCACCAACGATCCCCTCCCAACGACGATGACAACACCAAAAACAGGTTTACACTTGTCAGATGACGTAAAAACATGAGGTAATCGAGAGAGGTGGGGTTAAAAAACCGTTAAAATTCACGATGTCGACGCGAAAAAAACAGGTTCAAACTTGTCGGATGACGTAAAAAACACGATGTAATCGAGAGAAAGAGGCTAAAAAACGTTAAAATTCAGAAAAAAAACTCTTACCCCATGTCGATAAAACAGAACATCTATTCGGTATCAAACCGACTGTCGATAACATAGACCACAAATTGACATCAAACTTACCTCAAATCGATCAATAAACTTCAATACCTCCATTTAATTCCACCAGAGCGGCGTAAGTATCGATGTAATCGAGAGAAGAGGGGGTAAAAAACGTTAAAATTCACGATGATGACGCTAAAAAGCAGGTTTAAACTTGTCGGATGGCGTAAAAACATGATGTAATCGAGAGAGTAGGGGGCTAAAGACGTTAAAATTCAAAAAACTCTTACCCCCGCATCGATAAAACAGAACACCACTTGGTATAATACCGACTGTTGATACTCGCAGTCGATAACATAGATCACTATTTGACATCAGACTGTCGATAAAACTTACCTCAAATCGATCTTACCTCAAATCGATAAACAGACCATCCCACCAGAGCGGCGTAAGTATCGGTCTTCCTCGCATATACTTATACTACAAGTCATTTGAATATATACAAAATTCATCATCACATCAAATAAGTGCATATCACATCAACACCAAAGCTGATACACGGTAAAGGTATCAGCTCTGCTGTTGGGGTGGTAGCATTTTGACCTCAAACAATCGACCAACAAATCGATGACAATCCCCCAACAGTCGGTAAATATCGATCACCGAATCGATGATAATCACCCCAACAGTCCGTAAATATCGATCAACAAATCGATGATAATCCCCCAACAGTCGGTAAAAAAAATCGACCAACAAATCGATGATAATCCCCAACAGCAGTCGGTAAGTAAAAAAACCAACCATCGATATCGCAGAAACTCCACCAACGACCGTCGATAAGACAGAAACCCAAGGTCGGTACTACAGAAATCTACTTTATCGAGGGGTCAAACCGGCCTTGCTTATCTACTAAAATGGTGGAAATCAGATTCAAAACGGCGGATAGCAGCCACCAGATAGCGGATTTCAGATAGCAAATTCAAAATAGTGGATTCACAACTCAAAATGGCGGATTTCAGACTCAAAATGTCAGATTTCAAACTCAGATAGCAGCCACCAGATGGCGGATAGCAAATTCAAAATGACGGATAGCAGCCACGAGATAATGGATTCAAATGGCAAATAGATTTAAAAAAATGGCAGGAAAATGGCAGATAGATTTAAAAATGGCGGGAAAATGGCAGATAGATTTAAAAATGGCGGGAAAATGGCAGATAGATTTAAAAAATGGCGGATAGTAAGATTTAAAAATGGCGACAGAATTCACCACCAGCGCCACCTACAACCAAGTCAATAAAAACCTCGTCCATAACCTCAAAATGTCGGTATAACATGTCATCCATACCCACGGCAGCACCTACTGTCGGTAAAACGGGTCGCCCTTATCGACAGACGGTACTTAGCATGGACACGAACCCACAATCTGTTTTGCCGACTGGGTTTGCACCCCCCCCCTCTGTTTACCTACTTCGGTGGAAGGACTACAGAAGAAGCACCGAAGAGATCATTGGCACCAGGCTCTCCCCCTCAAGCCTGGTGACCTATATGATCAAACAAAAGGAAAACTGGCCAGCTGTTGCAGCTTATGCACAGCACCTCCTGAAAGACAAAATCACAGAAAGAGACCAGTAGCCAGGAGTAGGCGTCGTGACACGCAGCACGGCTGGATTGAAGTAATGCTAACGCGGTTCCAATCCAGTCCACCCCGTACCATCTAGGAGAGAGGGGAAGAGGAATGTTTTATTCAGTGGGTAAAAATCTCCACACTACCGACTATCGATATCTGCCGTAAGATGGGCGGCAGAGTTAACGATAGCGGTGTCTTTTGAAGATCTTTTTTCGTACCTCTTTGGAAAAAAAAAAAAAAAAAAAAAAAAAAAAAAACACACACACACACACATCAGTAACAGACATAGTGACAACATCGACGGGGTAGTCAAGGAAGCTTCCTATGACCTTAAAACTCGATTTTTCAAAACGTGGTGAAAACAATAACTTCCCGATTTCTGAAAATCTTCGATTTTCTTAGCGGGAAGTTAAAAAACAAATTGCAAAAAAATATAATATCAGTAAAATATATCTTACGTAGTCGACTCTGTCTTCAGCAAGCCAATGGAAAGATTTCAGAAACAATAGCAACGTAAATAATGCTATAAACTTTGGACTGAAATCATCTCTGAAAACAGTAAAAGCCAGACATGTTTCAGTGACTGCATACCATGCTTTTTCTACGAGATGCTGAAAGAAAACAATAAACAATTTAAATTCGATAAAAATTGAAAAGTATTTTAGAATATAGCCCACAGAAATTAGCCAAATCGGCTGTGCCAACTGGAAATAGATCGAGAAATTATAATTTCTTAAAATTTCGATATCAAGTAGGTTAATATGAAATTTTAACAAGTATCTAAAAGTCTTTGAAGATCTTTTTCGTATACCTCTTGGTAAAAAAAAACAAAAAAAAAAAAAAAAAAAACAAAACACACACACACACACATTCAGACAGACATAGTGACAACATCACGGGGGTAGTCAAGGAAGCTTCCTATGACCTTAAAACTCGATTTTTCAAAACGTGGTGAAAACAATAACTTCCCGATTTCTGAAAATCTTCGATTTTCTTAGCGGGAAGTTAAAAATAGTGTTTTATTAAACTTCTATTAGAGTTTTGAGCTCAGAGACTCAAAACTACACGAAAATTATGTTTGAGCTCTTTGAGCTCAAATACATAATAAGTGAAATTTTGAGCGCTTAATTACAAAAATAGCGGGAAGTTGCAGGGACGGCCTTCAGGGTCAACCGTTTTATCAATTTTTTTTTGTAGAGAAGATGAAAAATCTTCCAAAGACACTGCTATCATTGAAAGATGATGGTCGGTAGTGTGCGATTCTTACCCACCAAAAAAAAACTCTCTTTTTCCTCATTGATGTTTGTGGAATGATGGACCGGAACCACGTTAGCATCGCTTCAATCCAGTCCGTGTTGCGTCTCAAGACACCTACTACTGGTTACTATTCCCTTTCTGCGGTTTTTTTCTTTTTAACGGCGCTGCGCGTAGGTTGCGACAGCTTACCAGTTCTCATCTTTTTTGAGCAGGCAGGTTACCAAGCTTTCAGGGGGGAGCATGGTGGCAATAGCTTCTTCGGAGCTCCTTCTGTAGTCTTTCCACCGTACGCACTAAAAAAATGTGTGTTTGGCGTCGTCTTCTTGATCCGGGCAGTACTTGCACGTTGCCGCGGGGTACAGACCCATCTTGAAAAGGCGTTGAACTGTCCGTGTCCTGTCAATAGCAGGGTTAGCAAAAAGTCCGTGTCTCCGTGCTTTCGAGAAAGCCAGACGTTAACGTTTGGGATCAGGCGCGCTGTCCAACTGCCCGTCTCTCCCGATGTCTATCGGTCCTGCCACTCTTGCTATATTTCCACCTTTAACCTCGTTCTTGCCTCCTTCATATTTTCGCTACTGGTTTTAGCATCATAAAGTCTTGCTCTCTTGAACACTGATAGGTTGATGGGCACAGCTCCCGCAATGACCAATACAGCCGCTTCGGAAACCGTGTGGTAGGCGCAGGCAACCCTGAGAGCGCCTCGCCGCTGCACTGCTGCCATTATCCGCCGGTAGGTCTTCTGCTTGGTGCCGCGACAAAATAACCACGGACAAAATAACTGTGGACAAAATGACCGTGGATAAATAAATCTTAGACGAAATAACTATGCGACTAGATAACCGTAGATAAAATAACCTTGTGACATTTCAACCACGTTACAAAGTAACCGAACGACAAAATATCTTAGAAAAAAATATTTTCGAATAAACACACAAAAAATCCATGATAAAAAGGGCACAACATAGCAACAAGCTCATGTGTTGGTCTAATTTCAAATAAACGCACACAAAAATCATGTTAAAAAGGCGCAATACGATTACCCGCGTTTGTGTCGGTCTAATATGAAATAAAAACTCACAAAAACCATGTTGAAAGAGCGCAACACGATTACCCGCGTTTGTGTTGGTCTAATATCGAATAAACACACATATATATCATGTTTAATTTACAGTGTTTAAGAAAATATTGAAATAAGGAATTTTAGGGATGAGAAATAATTGATGTGAGAAATTTAAGTGGTGAGAAATTTTTGTAATGAGAAATAATAGCTGAGAATTTTTTTTCATGAGAAATATTGCGTGTGTTTTTGTGTGTGTTTATTCGACATTAGACATTATCATAAAATGACTCACTACCCCCGAAACTTATTTCGAATCTAGCGATGAGTCATTCAATTTAAAGCTTCCAGCATTAGCATTATAGCATTAAATTAAACATAAGATAAATCACGATACAATAAATTTTGTCCTTGAGAAATTTTGACAATGAGAAATTTTCTACTTGAGAAATTTTACTAGATAAATTATCTCATAAGAAACTATTGCGTAAGAAAAAAGGGGCGGTCGCCCTATTCGAAAGGGCTTCACTGAACTTAAATTTTGAAAACAACTTGGACTTATTTGGACTGGTATATTTTGAGAAATCTCAAAAAAAACTACAAAAAAAATTTTTGTCAAACGTGGTTTTTTTCGGAGTAACTTTAAAATGGCTCTACT